CCAGACCACCTCTGCAAATACAACAGAATATGGCTTAGTCTGGAGATAATGTAATAGAATTGATACAGTGTTGTGTTTAATGTGTTTTAGTAAAAATCCTAGATGAGTAGTTCATAAAATTTGATCTGATCAATTGATGCATAGCCCCAGAAACCCCGCAACTTTTACCCGATAATGAATCATCCTTTTCAACTGTTTTCATCTCACTTCTTAAAACAGACGAACAAAATCCTAACCCTCCACTTTCAATCTCCTGCTTCAGAATTTCTAACATTTTCACTAAAACTTCTACTGGTGAGCTGAACCCCATAAATTACAAAGGATGATGGTAACAGGGGCTCACCAAGTTTCTGTGGGTCATCTAGCCCAAATAAAAATTGCCTTACTAATACAGAAGTTTTTTCTGTGGCGTCCATTACAATCAACAGATAATTCCATTGGCCATGAGTTGACCATCCTCTCTTTGAATGTCTGGGCTGCTAGTACATCCCATTTCTTCATCCATAAAATGGGAGTGACAACAATAGCGGGTGCCTCTCACAATTGTTATAGAGACCAAGCATGATTTTAGATCAGTGTTAGGCTCACAGTGAGTCACCAGTACATGTTAGCTGGTATATGGGTAAACAGGGCTCAGTACAAGGTTTTGTCTTTTAGCCGGATTAGAAAAAACTAAATCGAGTCAGGGCTAGCTAGAGTGGGTGATTATAAAAATGACAGTTTGAGTAGATTTGATTGTATTCAAAAGACAAATAAAAATAATTTTGGGTTGTCCACATTCCTTTTTACCTTTGAATATAAGAGATCTTATTTTTAAGGACAGATTCTGTACGGGTATGTTTAGGACTGTGAATCAAAGAGAACATAGAACGTTCAGAAAAAGTACATATATAAGCTCACACTGGCCTGTACAACAATCACATACTGTTAGCAAGTTAAAACTGCTTGCTTAGTACCTATAGCAAACTCTGGAGTTCCTGTGGTGGGGTTTATTCCATGAAATGAATGTGTCATCTCTCCAATTTGGCATCAGTTTGTCTGCATGAGAACATGTGAGACATTCATAAAACTCCTGAAGGGAAGATCGTGTGTCTTGGCTGCCACCTTGTGGTTTTACATGTAGTACTGGCCCTCAGAAATCAAATATTTTATCCCGCAACAACCCATTTCTAAGACACACTAACAATTTGAGTGTGGCTTTTTCCCTAGCATTATTAAAAATTCTCCTAGTTTCAAAGAGGATTATGAACATACAGTTTGAACAAGAGATCATTTTTGTTGTGGTATGCGCTGAGCATCTGGGGCTGTTTTCTCATCATCATTGAACCTATCTCTTCATAGAAAATGATTAGCGTCACTGTGATCTCCGGGGAGGTAACCTGGCTCTCCCTGCTCCAGCTCCTAAACTCAAGCCAAGAGGAACCCCCCATCCAGTCTCCCAGTTCACAGCAGAGCCCCCGGCTGTGGTTTCATGTTGGCGACGGGGGGAGAGTCAGGAAAGAACAGCAAAAGTCCTGGGGCCAATCTGTCTGGCTGACGTGGGGCTCCGCCATTTAGTAATTAGCCGAACAATTCAGGCAAGTGACTTAACCCTGTGTAAAATCGGGGTAACAGTGCTTACCTATTGCAGTTCCTATGTCTGTGTAAGAAACCACACAAAACGTAATGGCATCAAACAACCATTTATTAGGCTAATGGACTGATGAGTCAGGAATCTGGACAGAGCATAGCAGGGATGACTTACCTCTGGTCCCCATGACTGCGGCCTCAGCTGGAAGTTTCAGACTAGGAGCTGGAATCATCTGGAGGTTCGCTCATCCCATAGCTGGTGATTGATGGTGACTGTTGAGACCTTGGCTGGGGCTGTCAGCCCTGACCCTAACACATGGCCTCTCTATGGGGCCCAGGGTTCTTTACAACATGCATCGAGAAAGAGACACAGAGAGAGAGACAGAGAGGGCAGAAGCCAAATCACCTTTTGTGACCTAGCCTTGTAAGTTACAGGGTGTCACTTTCTACTAGATTCTACTAGTCCTGGCAATCATAAAATTCTGCCCAGAGTCAAGAAGAGGGGAGATGACTGTCTATTCAGGGGCATAGCAAGGCTCTGGAAGAGTCTATGGGAGCAGAAATACTGCTATGGCCACTTTCAGAAAATAAAATCAGCCACAATTCTCCAGAGGGAGGGTTCACTCACTGGAGGATGTAACTTCAAACAGTTGGTGGGTTAACTTGGTGTTAGTGATTGGTGCACTGCACAGGTTTAGAACCACATGGAACTGCCTCCCTGTGGCCAGCTTTTCCCTCCCGTGAGGACCCACTCCAAGTATCTCTTTATATCTCAGACTCCAGCCCAAATGAAGGCAACCCCAGGCCAGAAGGAACTGAGGAGCGTGCTCTGACTCTGCTGCTTCAACAAGGTATTCACACAACGGCCTGACACCTGTAAGCCCAAGGTTTAGTCCCTTTTTATATTTCCCTTGTATAGGATTTAAGAAGCTATGAGGCCTTATCTAACCAAGATTATATTCTTGTATAACTACAATTGTGCTTTTATAGCAAAAGATCTGCAAGAAAATGTTAAAACTTTCTAAAGCAATGGTAGGATTTGGGTGGTTCTAATTTTACTTTTTTTTTAATGGAAGTATATTGTTCTGTCAAAACCATAAAGTAACTTTTTTAGATTAAGTATTAAGGTGAAAAAACCTCTTAAGGGGCCCATCATTCATGAGGGTGCTTGGATGAGGCTGAAAAAGCAGGAAGATATCAGCTAGTAATCTTTTGGTTTCTGCTGAAGGGACTGGATTATCTCTTGTGAGCAGTGCCATGTGGATTAGAAACCACTTGTCTCCTTAGCACTGACTCACCAGTATCAGCGAAGTCCAGGAAAGAAGGCTTGGCTCATACACAGTTGCTGAGTCATGTGTATACGCCCCCGTGGCTACAGTTTCTTCAAACCTTCTATTATTTTAGTTGCAGAAGAAAAGGCTAACTTTATACCACATGCCAAGCACCATATGTAGATTTCACAAGCAGTCTGAAATGTACCGATTGGCTGCAGTTAAGGCCAATCTGCAGGACTGAGCATCTTGACTGTCAAACTTCTGGGCAAGATCTAAATATAGATCACTAAAGTGCCTATGTAGTCAGAAGTAAAATCGGAAGCCAAACTCACACCCTCAGAAACTGGCAGGCGGTGGTTTCTGGCATAAGCCTGATCTTGTAGTGCAATCACTAGCAGGCAAGTCTCCCGCACATGCTTGCTGTCACTTAGCTTAGTTGGCTGAGGAAGGCTGTCCCATCGGTGAATAAGCATCTGGGACCAAATCATGCTAAGTTTAAGCAATTCAAGCACCTACAAATGCAAGATTATCATTAAGAGTCATCCAGCATTAATTAATGACATTTCCTCAGCTTTCTAGAGACTTTTAAAAAATGGTAAATGAAGACCTGTAGGCAGCCTTAAACAGTACCCATCTCCAGCTTACCAGCTAAATCCCTGGCCTCTCACTCTTCCCATCAAGCATTCTTCTATTTACCTGTGCACCAGCAGTTTCCTCTTCAAAAATGCCTAATAACTAAATTAATCTTTAAAATGTGTTTCAAAACACTGTCCCTAAACAGGCAATAAGCATTGAAAGGAAAATCATCTACCTGTTTGCTGACTGTTTCCTTGTTATACTTTCTCTTCCTCCGACTAGGTTCAGAATACTTCTTCCTTTTACCGGAAAGGCTCGGCTGTAGAACAGGGCTCGACAAATTATGGCCCGTGGGCCAAATCCAGCCTACTACTTGTTTCTATAAAGTTTTACTAGAATACAGCCATGCCCATTTATTCGCATAGCACAGCCATCCCGCTGGTTTCCATGTTGTCTGTCTGCTCTTGCACTACAAGGGCAGAGCTGAATGGTTCCAAGAGAGAGTTGCAAAGCCCCAAATATTTACTGTCTAGTCCTGAAACGCTTTGCTGAGTCCTAATCTAGAATAGTTCCAGAAAAGATGTCGGCTCAACAGGAAAAAGAAAACATTGTTGACTGAAAAAAAATGCAAGACGTCAGAGTTTTGAGTTAAGTTTTATTTGGGGCAAAATGAGGACTCCAGCCTGGAATATAGCCCCTCAGATAGCTCTGAGGAACTGCTCCAAAGAGGTAGGGGGAAACCCTGTATTTCATATGATTTTAGTGAAGAGGGGCACGTGCAGTCAAGCATTTTGGCAGACGCTTGCTGCTAGTCATGAGGAGCAGATGTCATTGTCAATGATTTTAGTGCTTTTCTAGGTATGAGGAGAACCAATAATTTGGACTCATAAAATCTTCTCCTGAAAATATCTGTCTGAAGGCCTGTTCTGCCAGTCTTTCCTAGAGCACTGAGTGCCTCATTCTTAATCTCCCCCATGAACTTCTGTCAGGGTGTGTTGGAGGTCAGTGGCTGCAGCAACTCATGATTTAATCCTTGTAGAGGCAATGGTAAATGCAAGTTTTCAGTCGGCAATATAAATTACTATCTTAATAGCAAAGGGCCTACTGTATAGCGCAGGGAACTGTATTCAATTTCTTGTAATAACATATAATGGAAAATAATCTGAAAATAAAAAATATATCTGTATGTATATGTGTAACTGAATTGCTTTGCTGTATACCTAAAACTAACACTGTAAATCAACTACACTTCAATAAAAACTGAAATTAAATAAATTATTATCTTACAAAGGACTCACCTCTCCAGAGGCCACCTGGCCAGCTGTTAAGGATGCAAGGATGCAGGAAGAACTCAGAGGAGGACCACACTGAGAGGAGGCCAGGACTGCAGGAGGCCATGCTGGCAGAGACCCAAGTCCACTAGAGCAGCCGTGCCAGGACAGCACCTGTGAGTTCTCTCAAACACAGACTGCATCCCCTTTCCCAGCTCACTCTCTCCCTTCCTGTGATAAAGTAAAAATCATTCAGTTTCACATTCCCTCTGATGAAGGGGCTGCATGAATATAAAGGACTAGAGCAACGTTTCCAATTGAAGGCTTTTATTTTTCTCACACTCATGCAAGCCAAAGTGGTTGACCCTTCCAGTCCTGGAGCCCCCTACCCTTCCCAGTGAGGAGAAACGTGTGTGTGCCCTGCACAGCTGGCTCAGAGAGAGCCTAAGCCTTGGCAGCGGCCTTGTAGTGAGTCAGGGTGCGGGCAGAAGGGTCAGTGGCGTGGATCCACCGGGGCATCCAGTAATGGGGAAGCCAGTCAGCCCGGCCTGGGTAGTGGCGTTCAAAGATTTGCCGGTAGTAATACCCTTCTTTCGTTTTTGGAGTATTGAAGGGAAATTTCTGGGCTGCGTTTGCCATCACTGCATCATCAACCTGTAAGAAGAAGAGCAGAGATGATACTATGGTTTTTTAAACAGCAAGGAAATACTTGTATTCAATCTGGCTTCACAAAAGCAAAAAGACGTATGAATATGAAAAGGTATGACTGTAAATGTTTGAGAGAGAGATGCTTTGAATCACTTAGAAGATGTTAAAATACCCTAATATGCATAGCTGCAGTGACTTTAAGGGAATATTCACATGCATATTTCTTCTAAATGGTGGCTCATAGTTTTATTCATTTGTGCCTAATCATGCCTGGCAGCCAGCAGGTGCCCCCCAAAATGTGTAACTGAAGATCAGTGATGACTGAAGTCTCCTCTCTCTCAATTCTAGATGCTACTTTGTAATCCTACATGCTGCTTAATTCTTTAAAAATTCTGCTAAATTCTTAAAAAATTCTTATAAAAGAAGTATTGTTTACAAGGAATCGCTCCTACAGACAAATGGTATTTAAATTCAATACAAATGAACAGCAATTACAATTCTGCATCCAAATTGTCCTATCCCAGAAAATACTTTTAAAGCCATTATACCTGATGTTCAATATACTCCTGTAAAATCTGAAACCAGGAATTCTTAACTGAGGTTATTCCATCACTGAAGGCTTCTTTAGGTCGCCAGAGAATCTCTTTAGGTATCAGATTGGAATCCTCAAACGTCTCTCTCAGGAGATGCTTTTCTATCCCGTTCTGATGTAAAGACAAAAGGAGCATCCGTAGAAGTTCTCAGTACAACCAGTTTCAATGGACAATTTTTGTCTTGAATCGATTCACCTACCTTGGGGACTCTCATATCCGGTGGCAGAGACAAGTAATAGGAAGAAAATCGATGATCCAGGAAGGGGACTCTCAATTCAAGGCTTAAAAAGGAAAAGAAGAAAATCTGAATCAAAATGGACATTTAGTGCCTGTCAGTTGAGATTCTGAGTCAGAGTTTCCTAGGAATTCACCCAGCATCTTAGTAACATTAAGATTTTAAAGTTATTTTTACAATCCCAACTGTTCTGCGCTAATGCATGAACACAGAAACCTTCATTCGAAATAGTATGTATCACATCACCTAGGGAGTGAAACAAGCTGTTGGCCAATAATTACTTTTGCTTTCCCTTCTATAAATAAATATCTCAAAAAAGCAGAAAAAGAACCATGAGTGACCTGATCATTAAGAATGCACTGTGTCTAGATTTTTCTGACTCATAGTTTTTTCTAGGTGAGCTCATCTCTCGTCCTATTAACTATAATGCTAATCTGTGGTTACTACCCTATCTGCTGTCCTAACCAGAGTCGCCAGGATTCCGGAAATAGATCATGTGGTCTTTGATGAAACACTGTGGAACACTGGTTTACGTGGAAGGTAAATTATTAACCAATTAGTAGTAAAAATTTTTTAAATTTAGTTCATTCCCCAACCTCATATTTTATTGTTTTCTAATCTAAAAGTGATTTGGTAGAAGCAACTGAAAGAGTTGATGGTGGTTGTTTAGTAAAAGTCTTCAATTCTCCAATATGACCAGCTTTTTTTTAAAAAAAGTAAAAACTTTTTAGCCAACTAGAAATGATACCACAGAAACCTGTGTTATAATCTAATCAAGTCTCTAGAACCTCCACTGCTGTTATCTTCACACATGGCAGGTGCTCAATAATTGCTACACTGAGGTGTCTAATATTTATTTCTCCTAAAAAAAGCTGCAAGTGCTTTCCCTCTCAGTTGCTCAGGTGTGAGTAGGATGTTATGCTTTAAAGAAAGAAACTCCATCTGAAACCACCCATAAGGTCCTCTCACCATTACAACAGCCCTCTGACTTAGCTTAATTCCTTTGCACTAACAGACAAGTTTCATTTTCTCTATACAAGTCATACTTTGCAACATACAGCCAACTGCAAAGAAAAAAAAGTCGACCATTGAGCCTTTCCATTTTTTGAGGTTATTTTACAATTACTTCCTAAAATACTAAGTTACCCATGGGCAGCAGTAGTTCGATCTGCACGGAGAACATCAAACAAATAGAGTTCCTTCAGAAGCCTCTCACTCTCCTCCTCAGCTTTCTCAGGGGAAGGAGCCTATGTTACAAACAAAATGCTGAAGTTACAAACATACCCACAAGCTCTGCTTTGCGCGCACGAAATAGTTTTTATTTCTTACTTTCATATGTAACTCCAACTCTAAAAGTGGGTCAGACAAAAAGCTAAATAAATGCCTTCTGAAAGATGCCTTCCCTCACACCCAGACTGCTAATGTTAGAACAAATAAAATGGAAACACTTTGCAAGAACAAATAAAATGGACACACTTAGCAATAATCCTAAAAACCACCTGAGACTACGAAATATCAGAAACGTGATTCTTATGCTTAACGAGCTTTAAAGAGTAGAGATTATCTGACACTACTAAGACTTCTTTCTCCCCAAAAGAAATACCAAGCAGACATTACCAGATTTCCTCCTATGCCTCACAAGATATTCAGTGTTACTGTTCTACCGAAAAGACAAATTACAGAAAATAGTCAAGTAATGCATACTTTTCTTACCCTAGCACCAATTCCCTCCTTCTGAGAAGGCTTACCTTGTGAAAATATATGTAACCCTGAGTAAGTTCATCTGAACCTTCTCCAGAGAAGATCACCACACTATCTGTGTTCTTCCGAATGTATTTGGAAATTAAGTACATGCCTTAAAAAAAGAGACAGAAATCACTGTTAATGTCAACATAACCCTCTACCAAAAATGCCTTTTCTCTGGTTTCTGGGAACAACTGCAAGCTTTTTCCTATTAGATTAGACTCTGTACTAGTATAAAGTAGTTTGCAAAATAATGACCTTGTATCTACAAGCCATTTATATGTTCTTATCCAAAATTTGTACTGCTGTGATGAAACAGCCCCAAACCATTCCACAATTTTATATATAGGTTTTAAAATGTTAATGCTTACAGACCAAGAATGTCCATCTTAAAATTCTGCTAAACAATGCTAAAAAATGTTGCTGAACAGTGTCACAGGTATCTTAAAAAATTCACACCTTTCATACCAGTATCACTATACAAAAGTAATAGAAGAGTTGGCATTTGGAGGTGGGGCAGGAATTAGGTTTATTTATTTTTTTAGTAGAGGTAGTGGGGATTGAACCTATCCATGCTAGGCATGCACTCTACCACTGAGCAATACCCTCCTCCAACAGTTGGCATTTTGTCAGCATAATTTTAATCTGGGGTTTCTTTCCTCTGATACTCCTATCCACATTTCACACGCAGTTAAGAATATTATATCATTAAAAGATGCTGGTGGGTTCCTGCTCTACATTCCTACAAACTGGAATTTGTTCTTAACTGTCTTTTAGACCTAATACCTCACCCCAATGATAAATTAATCTCAGAAATACTGTACATCTGTTTATGTACGGTGGCCCTTTGGAGGGCCAGAAACTACTGTAATAGCTAAGATTTTTTTTTGCCCTTCAGGAACTAATTTTTGCTCCCTGTGGCAGGACGGGGGTCAGGGGGCAGTATCACTCCTGTGATATTACTACAAAGTTTAGAGCATGCGAATGTATACTTGAAACTCTGCAGTGGAGGCCTGTCAGATGCTAAGCTCCTTAAAAGAGAGGCACATCTAAGCCAGTAGCACATTAGAGGCCCAGCAACATGAGATCAGTCTGACTTGGTGTATACTTCTGATCTCAGTATGTGTCCACAGGGTCAAACTAGTAATGCTTGCTGGGCAATAATGATTTCTGTGTGATATGTGGTATGATGGAATATTTACCAAGATATATCTAAAATGAGTATTCCTTACATAAAATTAGTCACAACATAGACTTATTTCCCTATATAGCCCAAGAAACTTTTATAGAGAAACTGGGGCAAAGGGGGTGCAGAAAATATATATAAACAGTAATAGCATAAATGTGGACGTTTAACTATGTAATTAATGTTTCTCTCACTCCGAGAGATTCCAGGAATTCTTAAATGGTCTTCTCTTCAACAACTGCTGACATAGGAATTTCATTTGCATTCAGTCTTAAGTAGTGTTTTTTAAACTACTGCTTGAAATAACATTTTTTAAACCTTATGATTTTTCAGTATTAAAAATCTTCTTAGTATCACAAAATGCCTTACCTACTGAAGCACGGACTGTTGTAATGTCATAAGTTTCCAAGGAAAATATGACTTCATCCAGAACCTGAATGCCTTCCTCAGAGTTAAAGAGGACTTCATGGTGTTCGCTCCCAATATGGTTTGCCACCTGATTATATAAAGATATATCCACATACTTGTTACTTAAAGAAAAGAACTACTCTTGAAAATGAAACAGGACAGTAGTTCACAACATATTATAAATTAACAATGGTGGAAAACAAACAAGACTAAATAAGAGGAAATGATGCTGTAGGCCACCACAATAAGAGGAAATGATTCTCGAGGTCACCATGTCTGAGCCCCACCTAGTCAGGCTCCCTTGACTCCCTCCTCCAGTGTCTGCCCTCCAGTGACCACAAGAGGCAGATCTCTCATCAGCTCTGCCCACTCCAAGACTTCACCCTTACAAGCGTGCCCCCACCCCCCACACACAATTATGTTACTTCCTCTTGGTCCTCCTGCAATGCCTAACTTTACATCCAGGATGTTACTCCTAAGCTAAATGGCCCCTCTTCTCATTCTGTTTCCTCTGGCTGTTGCGGATCCATTTAGCATTTGTCAGCTTGCTTTAGGACCGCTCTCTTGCTCTTTGTCATCCATTCTATGCAAGTTTCTCCAGAGTGGGAACGAGGTCTCCTGCACAGTGAAGGTGTACCAGGTCCCCTCTGCCCACAGTCCTAAACATAGCACTTTATTAAAAAGAAAAAAAAAGAACAATAACAGCTAACATTCTCTAAGTACTAATACATGCTAGGTTCTGTCCTTCTCACCTCATGTGAATTATGTAACTTTCACCTCCACACTGTCCCACAGTAGACACCATTACTCCATTACGTAAGTGAGGAATTGCACGGTAGAGCTAGGTTTTGAAGCCAGCAGTCAGGTTCCAAAGCCTGCAGCCTTAACCACTATATCTGCTCTTACTCTCCAAAGGGCAGAATTATCATCATAGAGTACTTGTGAGGATTGCAAGAGCCACAGTAGATAAAAGTACCCAGAACACAGTGTACAATATAATTCATATTCAAGAGGCATGTCATTTCATTCTAATATGTTTAACTGAAAACAATTACCTGAGTCAATACAGCAGCAAAGTATAAAACCATCGATTATTAACTTAATTTTCATTCTAATAATAGGTCTGTCTAACTACATAACAGGCAGAGACAGTGTCTTACCTTCCTAGCAGCTAGTAAATCCGGACTGTCTTCCATGCCGATTGCAAATGTCTGCAGAGGGTACTGTATTTGGGCCTCTTTTAGGTGTTTCAACAGGGTGGCAGCAACTAAACTGGAATCCAAACCCCCTACGAGTGAGACAGGAAGTATAGCGGTTACGTGCCTTACGTAAGAGGGACAAATAACGACTGACAATCCTATGAAGCACAAAGGCTAGAGTTTCACCATTTAAAATCCTCAAGTTTTGTAAACTGAAAATTAACTTCAATAAGAAAAATCTAACATTCAACCTGTGATAATGGTAACAAACAGTATTTGAATTGGTTAAAATCACTACACACACTATATGCATTCTAGAACTTGAACCAAGATGGTGGAGAAGGAGGACGTGGAATATTCTGATGAATGTTTACCAGCTCACTCACACCTATATAATTAGAGTATAACTTTAAGTTGCTGTGTTACAATAAAAGTTAAAAGCAACTTACAGAAAACTTTTTCATCCTATAATAAAGATTAAATCCTACAGTAAGTCTTCTACTGTCAAAACCTCTAGGATAGCGATAAATCATTTAACTTAAATGTGCACTAACTATAACCAGGTCTTCTAAGTGACTTCACCTGATAAAAGGCAGCCAATTCTTCTGTCCGTCATCAAACGTTTCTTAATGGCATTGTCAAAAAGGATCCGGAGGTTGGTCTTCACAGTTTCTATCTCAAAACCTATTAACACATAAAGTAAACAAAACAGCTGCAGAAAAGCCTGAATAATTTACTGAACCAGGTAGGCAATCATCTACATCTATTGTGATGGCATCTGCCCCATAGTGGACTTGGCCAAATCTCAATGTGTCACCCTCAAATTAAAAAGGAAACAGAGCTTCAAACTGAAATGATTCCAATGATGGGGGAGTCTACTTCTCCTCCGGGGGAGAGAGGTGGGGAACAGGTGGGTGGGTCTGCTTTCTTACCTGGGAAGAGTTTCTCCACGTTGTCATAGAGGGCGTGCAGAGGCTCATCTCTACAGTGGTGATGTTTAACCATTTCCACTGACGCAACTTTGCCATTTGGCTTTAAATCCAAAACTTCATAGTGTCCTGGGAGGAAAGGCTCCACTTTTAAAAAAGGAGTCATGGAGTGCTTCAAGTTAACAAGACCTACAAATTTAAAATGATAACTTCATTCAAATTAGGATAGTACTTTACTGTCACTTTCATGATTAGTTAATATCCTCTAAATTCCTATTTTGTTTCCCTTTTTAATACAAATACATGTCTATTATATAAGCAAAAGAGGAAAAATATAATCATCCAAAACTCTACCATCTACTTACTAGAAAGATAACACTGGTACAGAGAGGCATGGCAAAATCACACTGATTTCTACTAATTCAAAGCAATAGAAAAATCTCCAGTATTCAATTTTGTCTCCCTAGCTGGAATTTCTGATCAAAAAAAAAAAACACTTTTTTCTTTACTCAAGTAAGTAAACATAAAAAAAAGAAAAGCAAGATATACTTATTAAACAAAGAGATGGACCTGAAGCTGTTAATTTTATTATATCCTTGTAGTCATTTGTCATCACTGAGGTATTTTAAGAAAAACAGCCATGGTTCCCATTCCTTTAACAAGCAAAATGATCCACATTAGGTACTGTAAAGTCAGATGTTAAGATGTCAGACATCTACCCCTTAACTATTTTTTATACACCATGTGTGAGTTAAACAGTATCATTTAAATTTCCTCAGTAATTTCTCACAGGAAATAACCAACCAGACATCATCATGACCTTTGATTTAAAAGAATCAGTGTTTTATTGTAAATAGTATCAGTATATCTACACAGAATACTTAATTATGATTTATGATGTGAGTTTGTTCACCCAGTAATCTGTTGTGTAGTGCTGAATTCAAGAGCAGACAAGACCCAGCTCCTATCACTAGCTAGCAGACCTCAGTGAGCCATGCAGCCCCTGTAGGGGACGAGGACTAATTACAAGGTTTTAAGCAGGAAGAACTTTCCAATTTTGCTAGATCTTCTTTCATTTCTTTCAACAATGTTTTATAGTTTTCAGCGTATAGTTTTGAACTTCTTGTTAAATTTATTCCTATGAATTTTATTCTTTTTGATGCTATTTGTACAACACAGTGTAAACCATGTGACCCAGAAAGTCCACTCCTGGGTATACACCTAAGAGAAATGAAAACACACAAAAACTTGTACACAAATATGTAAAGGAGCACTAGTCATAAGAGCCAAACAGGGGAACAACTCAATTGTCCATCAACTGACAAAAGGATAAACCAGTGGATAAACAGAATGTGGTATATCTATGTAATGGAGTATCTTTTGACCATAAAAAAGTTAGTAAATAGAAAAAAATACTGATAGATGTTACAACACAGAAGAACCTTGAAAACATTTATGCCAAGTGAAAGAAGTCAGTCACAAAAGACCACATATGATATGATTCCCTTCTTATGAAATGCCCAGAATAGGGAAATCCATAGAGACTGAAATCAGACTGGTGGTTGGCTGGGACTGGGGTGGAGGTGACGGGAGGACAGTAAGTTGAATGGCTGACGGATATGGAGGGGATGGAGAGAGACACTAAAGAGTACAGGGTTTTTTTCAAGATAATAAAAAAATTCTAAAACTGATGGCAAAGTTGGTTGCAGAGACCTATGAATATACTAAAAACTACTTAATTGTATATTTTAAAGGAGTGTATTGTATGGTATGTAAATGACACATCAATAAAGCTGTTTAAAAAGTGCTAAATAAACATGTGCTTATGCGACAGCCATAGTGCAGGATCACAGTGCAATAATCACAGGGCTGACCAACCCTGTCCTTACAATATGACCTAGGAAAACTGGAAAATACACACGAGATCAGACCAGATGCAGACTTACCAGCACAGTAAAAATTAAATGACTACTACAGATTTATCCTCTAAGGATTACAGAATTTAATTGCTAAAAAAGTAGAGTCCAACTCCTTGGTTTAAAAAAAAAACCTCAGGAAGTCCATGACTGACATAGCCATTTTTAAAGCTTTGGGCAGCCCACCACAAATCATAAATGCTGGAGAAGCTGTGGAGAAAAGGGAACCCTCCTACACTGCTGGTGGGAGTGCAGTTTGGTGCAGCCATTAGGGAAAACAGTACGGAGATTCCTCAAAAGACTAGAAATAGACTTACCATATGACCCATTAATCCTGCTCCTGGGCATATATCCAGAAGGAACTCTAATTCAAAAAGACACCCGCATCCCAATGTTCATAGCACTATTTTCAATAGTCAAGTCATGGAAACAGCCTAAATGTCCAATGACAAATGACTGGATAAAGAAGTGTGGTATATTTATACAATGGAATACTACTCAGCCGTAAAAATGACACCATAATTCCATTTGCAGCAACATGGACGTCCCTAGAGAATATCATTCTAAGTGAACTAAGCCACAAAGAGAAAGAAAAATACCATATGATATCACTCATATGTGGAATCTAAAAAAAAAAAAAAAAAAGATGACAACAAATGAACTTAGATATAAAACAGAAACAGACTCATAGACACAGAATACAAACTTGTGGTTGCCAGAGGGGAGGGAAGGGAGAAGGGACAGACTGGGAGTTCGAAATTTGTAGATACTGACAGGTATATATGGAATAGATAAACAAGTTTATACTGTATAGCACAGGGAAATAGATACAAGATCTTGTGGTAGCTCACAGTGAAAAAAGAATGTGAAAATGAATATATGTATATTCATGTATGACTGAAAAATTGTGCTCTACACCAGAAATTGACACAAGATTATAGAGTGACTATAACTCAACAAAATAAAAAAAAAAACAAATAAAAAAAACTTTGGACAACCCAATTTGTAAATAGGGATTGGATTTGTAAATATGATCTAGAAAACACAAAATCAGGACAATAATGAAAATCTATAGATAAATTCTATCATTACCTTTAGCTTCTGAACACACGGCCAAAAATCCATCTTCTGTCATGGCTTTAAACAGAGGTCTGACTCCATAGGTATCTCTGCCCAAGAACACTTTCTTATTGGCAGTATCCAGTAAAATAAATGCAAACACCCCATCCAACATACAAATTGTTTGCTCAATTCCTCCTTTGTCATAAAGATGAAGGATTATCTCACCATCCACTTTGGTCTGGTATTCAAATTCAAAATGGTGTTGCAGCTTAAGGAAATAATAGCAAAACAAAAATGTTAGAATCCTTGTGCATTCACTAAATTTTTTATTGCAAAGTTGCTTCAGTATTTCTATGCTCTATAATCATTTCATGCAGTCTGGTGATTTAGAAGAATCATGGCATTATTCAAATATAGTCTCTTTGAACTCACAATCCCACAAATTCTTTATAACATAAAATAAAGCCTGTGAAAATTATAGCTGCATTTTGATAAGCAGAATACAGAGACAATATACCTCTGTATTGCATGGACGGATGGAAATGCATATTCTATACATATGTGTATGTAATACATATATATTTTCATAAATATGTAAGTTCTGCAACTGTCAGGCTTTGGTCTGGAAATATAGTATTGAGGAGGTTCTTACAGTTTAGCCTCAAAGACTCACTATGGAAATAGAAAGCAAAAGGACAAATATATTTGGCCCTATTCCCGGACAAGTGAATGATTCCACCACAATGACAGACATATATGGTCCAAAACAAAGTTGCTGGTTCCAGGGAGGACTACAGCATCCCATCCTTCCAACACCGCAGAGACATTAAAGCTACTTCGTAGTGATAGACAAAATGTCGGTGGAACTTTATTTGTCCACGTCCCCAGTGGAACAGCAAGGAGATCATCACTCCCACCATCTGTCGAGAGGGTTATGTCCGAATTCTGTGGCTCTCCATTGCCATGGGCAAACTGTCAGGGTGAAAAGTTCTTGGTATGGTCCTTTCTTTGTACTGACTCATATTTTTGGCTGATAGTAGAGAAGGGGTTCACATAAACAAAATTAGGTGGAAATACTGGGTACATTTAAAAATTTAAAACATGTTCTTAAATTTCAAAAAGTAAGTCTCTATGTTTATGTGTATGACTATATAAACATGCTGCACAACCATGCTCATGCTATAACTTTATGAACCTTTTGTCTATAAACACATAACTGTCCAAAAATGGGCTTTGGCCACTTCCAGTGATGACAAAGCCACCTCCTGGCCACCTCTCCCTGCTCTGAGAGACTGTCAGTGATGATCTCAGTCACTAGGAGGCAGGGTTTGGAAACGGTCTTCTGCTGACCCTTCTGGGCTGCAGTACCTGAAGGATAAATGAGCCTAAAGCATTCAATGATTTCAGTAACAGCTTCCCAAATCTATTTTCCATCAGCACATCATCATTACTCTCTGATCTAAAGGTTGCAGGTAGTTTACTGGTTAATGATTTGTGTGTACCACTTCCCGCTCTCCTGAAACCACACTTAGAAAAAAGCCCGTATCTTGCCACCATCCAGAAATCACACTGTCATTTGACTTGTTGGCTGTGGGCCTCTGATAACCCTGCAGGGAGAGGGCCTCCTCTCTGCCAGCCTTCACTCAGATTCCTCCTCCCCTTGACTGGTATCCCTCTACTCTCAGCACACTGCTGTCTGTATTTTAGTGGTACACTCCATCTCCATCCAAAAAGGGTGACTTTGAAGCTTCTGTTGCAGAATTTTTTATATAAGCCTAAAATGCTGAGTCTACTCTTCAGCCAGCTTTCAGCTGCTCACACTGCATCATCTCAGTGATTTCCCTGCTTCTGAAAATACAACCTCTTTGGCCAATTTAGAATAGAAACATTTTATAGTATTTAACTTATTTCATTAACTTTTTAACAAAATACACAAAAGCAGCTATGCTGTTCACATAAAACAAGGCATTTTCTATCTCATTTAAGGTGAAGTCAGGCTACTATTGCCGCAGTACAACTTAGCATTCTCATGTATACGATACAAACTTGGCTTAGGAAGAAAGAAGTTCTAACTGCTCCCTCCTCTACTCCAACTAGCCTGAAGCCCCATTCTGACCTCTCCTGCTCATCATTTCACCTCCAAGCACCTAGAAGACTGATTTCTGCAGTATGGCAGATCCTTAATAAATTCATGAAAGGAATCTGCTGAATAACAACAACTTTTCAAATGAGAAGCCAATTACTGACAGTGTTCCTATAAGCAAACAACAAACAATGGCAAAAGCTACTGTTCAGAGATAAAAATGTCTAGAGGGTGACTAGAATATAAATCTCTACCCTTGAATGATAGGCCTCTATCAAGAAGGCTCAAAAAATACAGAGAAACATTACAACCAAATGTATGAACCCTGAATGAAATCTGGCTCAAAACCAAAAAATTGGACCTAGAGATTTTCATACCAAGTGAAGTAAGTCAGAGAGAGAAAGACAAATATATGATATCACTTACATGTGGAATCTAAAAAAAAGACACAAATGAACTTACTTACAAAACAGAAATAGACTCACAGACATAGAAAACAAACTTATGGTTACCAAAGGGGAAGTGGGGGAGGGATCAATTAGGGATTTGGGATTAATATATACACAGTACTATGTATAAAATAAACAAGGACCTACTGTATAGCACAGGCAACTATATTCAGTGTCTTATAATAACCTATAATGGAAAAGAATCTGAAAAAAAGAACAGATGAATATATACACATACACATACATATATACTGAATCACTTTTCTGTACACCTGAAACATTATAAATCAATTATATTTCAATTAAAAAATAAAAAAACAGCTATAAATATATTCTTGGAACACTTGGGGAAATTTCATATGAACTGGATATTAGATAGGAGATAAATGCTTAGATATTTAGGAATAAAGTGTCAATGTCTGCTGTATACTCTAAAATGATAAACCAAATATTGAATGTGTGTGTATACGCAGACAGAGAGATAAAGCAAAAAAGGCAAAACATTAACAATTATTCAATCCAGATGCTCATTGTTCTGTTCTTTTCTGTAAATTTGAAATTCTCAAAATTAAAAGTTGAGAGGGAACTATATTCAATACCTTACAATAGCCTATAATGAAAAAGAACATGAAAATGAATATATATATATGTAGAACTGAATCACTATGCTATGCTGTATACCAGAAATCAACACATTATAAACTGACTATACTTCAATAAATATATAAATAAATAAATATATATATATATATATATATATAAAAGTTGGGGAGGACTGTAAGAAAAAACTGACTATACTTCAATAAATAAATAAATAAATAAATAAATAAATAAATAAATAAATAAATAAATAAATAAAAAAGTTGGGGAGGACTGTAAGAAAAAATAACTTGCAAATTTTAGGTTAAAAAATAAATTCTTAGGAAACACTAGCCAAATAATTCTGAACTGGAAGGTTCTTAGCAAATTTGGCTTCCTCAGGTCAGAATTTCCCCTTACCACTCTCACTTCAAGTGTAAGCTCTTACCAGATTAGAAAGCTGTCCCAATTTTAGTGCTGCTAAAAGTCTTACTTTTTGCCTTCCATTGCATCTGGCTACAAGTCTGTCCTTTGACTCTGATTAGTCAATTATGCAACAGCAATATCCTAGGGGCAGCAATTATATAAAAATATGATCACCCACAAACTATTAAATCTATCCCTGCCTTAAAACCTACAAACCTCACTGCTCTTAGAATTATAGTCCAACTCCTTACCAAGTCCTGCTTGATCTGGTTCAGCCCTTCCCCTCCAACCCCACCTTGCCCACCGGTTCCTTGTGCACTTATGACAATCCCAGGGGTCTACACATGCTATTCACCTTGCATGAAATGCTCTTCCCAGCCCTGCTAGCTGATCCTTGTCCATTAGGTCTCAGCTGAAGTGTCAGTTCCTCCAGGGACCTTCTCCAACCACCTGTATTGAAACTGGATCTCCCATATCAATCAGCTCCATTTTCATTTTTTCAGAAAGCCTATTACATGTACAATTATTTTTTTGTCTGTTCCCCCATGGGATAAGCTCCACTAGAATGCAGACCTACCTCTCATACTAGTGTATCCCCAGTGCCTAACACAGGCTCTAATAAATATTCAAATTTATAATAGGAAAAAAATTCCAAGAGTTAAGAACCTGAAATGTACCTCTCATTTTATCTTTTTTTCTCTGACCCACTCATTTCACCTCTTTGTGCATCAGTGCCCTGTCTATCTGCATAACTGGAGCAAATGAGATAATGAACATGCAAAGTGTTTGAAAAGTAAAAAGCATTACACAAAATAAAAATACTATAACTAACTAGCTCTGAGGCGTAATCACACCCAGATATCTTCTGGTTTCATTGTGTTTACCTTCTTGTGGTTGTAGATTTCACCGTTATAACAGAGCCACAAATAAGGATATTTCTTCACTCGGATTGGCTGCATTCCAAACAGCTGGTCAACTACCGCCAACCGGTGAAATCCAAAGCAGCAGTTGGTGTATCCATTGACATTCTCAAAACGAAATGCATCTGGACCCCTATGTGCAATCTTCATAGCACTTAGACACTGAACGGAAAGGCAGTCATCGCTGCCAAAGAGGGCCCAAATGCCGCACATGGTGACGGAGCTACAGGCTTTCTCTATGGAGAGAAAAGCAGACCAGTTAAACAGTATACAACTCAAGTCTGTATTAAATCTCGATGCCTAATACTTGCATAAACCACTTCAAAGATTGAAATATAAATTACCTTATCTACAGCAACTTTCCATTAGGTTGGCAAGCACACAGGAGTAGAGAATGACTTAATTTACTTCCAAGTATTCAAAAAAGATGGATGACCTTTACATCAAGCCAGCTACAGCAGCTTAGCCCACAATCAAAGCTGCATTCCTCTCAACTTAGGATGTGGTCAGCAAGAGCTAGCAGTGTTCAGGCTGCATTCTGTTCTGCATCATAGGTTAATTCCCAAGATACAGATACACATGCAGGCTGGCTCCAACCTAACCAGAGATCCAAGGCCCACTCTCTCTATTCCAGAATCTCAAAAGCCCTCAAAAATCCAAGAGATGCTCCAGATTCCTATGGTCACCTCTTGGGACTCCTTGACAATTAAATGTCCTCTCTTTACCTGTACTAACGTATGTACAGTGGGTAGAAAGGATGATCAATCATACTGCTAAGTGTAATATTAAGATACGCAGTTATTATAAGCATTTTCACAACTTCTAGCTTACCTCGAAATGACTTATTAAAACATGATAAAAGAAATTCTAAAGTGAAAAGAGAAAGCAATATCATCTGATATCCTGGCTTTATAAGCCCAAGCATTTTAAGTTGACAGAGATACAAAATGTTCACCATCAAAATATTCTAAACAACAAAAATGTTCTCAGGGGAATAGACAGCTCAGTGGTAAGACTGCCTGCCTACCAGGCACAAGGTCTGGGGTTCAATCCCCAGTACTTCCACCTAAAAAATAAGTAGACAAATAAACCTAGTTACCTCTTCCCCTAAAAAAAAAAAAAGGCAAAAATGTTCTCAAACACTTTTGTCTCAAAGCTGCTATGGTCAGTAAAAAAGCAAAGTAGGTGGGATATACACAGTGACATCTTTGAAAAACAACTAGGATCATCCCTATAGGTCAAGAAGCAAATAGATACTTCCTACAAGTTAATTATATTGCAATTTCAAATTCAATTCTCAACTGTGAAATAAAGAGCTATCTTATTTGAATGCTGCCAGAGCAAAACAGTTATTTTACCAAAATATCTGTAACTTTGAAACTATTTTGGTATTTTAAATGCAAATTTATAGCAACTTGCTTGATAATTAGGGCAAATGCCATCAATAAAAAATATATATTCAAGTTACAATCACTTGAAGCAATCCTCTGAAGATATTTCATTTGTATCTAAAGGAACCAAAGCTTTGTTTGGCCTTTTAATGAGACCAGATCAAATTAATGGAAAATGATGTTAACTCAGACAACTTAGAAATGAAGTATCACACAAATCCTATACAGACCCTTCCATGCAATTCACAAAATAACCTATAATGAGATACAGGCATACCTCAGAGATATCAAGTTTGGTTCCAAACCACTGTAATAAAGCAAGTCACATAGAATTTTCTTGTCTCCCAGTACATATAAAAGTTATGTTAACACTATAACATTGTCTATTAAGTGTGTAATAGCATTATGCCTTAAAAAGCAACATTCATACTTTAATTAAAAAATACTTTATTGCTAAAAAATGCTAACGAGCATTTTCAGCAAGTTGTAATCTTTTTGCAATGGTAATATCAAAGATCACTGATCACAGATCACCATAACAAATACAATAACAATGAAAGTTTGAAGTTACCAAAATGTGACAGAGACACAAAATGAGCAAATGGGGTTGGAAAAAATGGCGCCAATACAAGGTTGCCAAAAACATTCAATTTGTAAGGAAAAAAACCAAAAATAATAAAACAAACAAACAAAATCCCAGCAGAATCTGCAAAGCACAATAAAGCTAAGCACAAAGAAACTAGGAATGTCTATATTTACTTTGAGATTTAGTGGAAAATTCACTGAGATTCAAGTGAGATGACTATTGATAAGCCATCCATCTTTGACTCTATACCAATGAAAAATGGGCTGGGAAAGGGCTTTGAACATCACATCAGGTGGTTAGCTGATCATTTACCTAAGTCATCCTAATGCTGCTGAGTGAATCCCACTAAGCCTACTGTAGAAACACACACCAAGCATTAAACTGGAGAGGAAAGAAGGGCAACAAAGGGTTGTGAAACACTTCACACTTACTTCTTCAGCAGGAAAAAGCAAATTAAAACTATCACCTATTATTTTTATTGGGTTCAATCTTACTTGCAAAGGTCCTACTTAGCAATACTTTTTCCTAATGCTGTGATCTCTCCCAGTAATTTTCCATATTCCCTTGTAAACTTCTAGATCACGGCTGTCCAGTAGAAATGTGCAATTTTAAATATACTAGGCGTTCCATTAAAAAAGTAAAGAGAAAAAGGTGAAATTTTAAATATACTTTATTATAACACAATGTACTGAAAATCATTTCAACATGTAGTCAGTATAAAAAATACTGACAAGGTATTTTACATTGCTTTTCTATATTAAACACTCACAGCACTTACAACACTTACAGCACATCTTAACTCGGACTAGCCAGCATTTCAAGTTCTTAACAGTTACGTGTGGCTAGGGCTACCAACTGGAGGGTTGCTTCAGGGCATTTAATTTCTTAAACTAATACCTAAAGTAAAACTCAAGTGGTATGGTGAAGTTTACGATCTCAGCAACCAACTAACTCCTGGTCGGGTTCAAGACCTAAGTTATTTCTAATTAATCTTAAAGTAATGCGGCCAATCAATGAAAAAAGAGTTAACAGTGCTTTTAAATTATTTGTCAAGCACCAGGGGCAAGGGACAGTGAAGAAACAAAGTAGGCCACAGGCCAAGAAGAAAACTGTTCCTTCATTCAAAATAGTAACGTTAATCTGAAGCCAGCCCTATAAAATAGGTATCTACTGAGAAAAGGCATGGCAGTTTCTTTCGCCTTTTCCCATATTTCGCCGCCTGTCGCCCTAAACAGGTTCCTTCTTGGCAGGATTTGCTCGGCAAGACACTTGTTGAGTCTTGCAGTCCACAGAGACGGGGGAGGGGTAGCTAGGTGAAGGGGATGAGCCGGAAGTGAAGGATAAGTACTGATGCCCGAAACCGTGACCTACAGCCCCGGAGACCCTCTACGCTGGACCACGGTCCAGCGACCGCGCCGCTCCGCGACTCCCGACTGCACCCAGGCCACGTGCATCCTCCAGCTGGCCCGCTGCAAGACCCCCGAAGTGCGAAAATTTCCGCAGGCTTCGGCGCAATATAATTAAAAATTATAAAATTTACAGGAGCCAGCTTAAGCCTCCGCCGCCTTCTATCCGGAGAGGCCCGGCCTCCCTTCTGAAGGTCGCTCGATCCCTCCCTCCGAGACGACAGCGGAGGTCTTTCCTCCCAGCTGGTTCCCAGGTGCGCAACAATTGGCCCCGCCCCCTTGTCCGGCAGGAGCCACAGCATCCGCTGGCGCCGGCATCCGCGTCTACGCACCAGTAGGGTTGGCTAAGTGCAGCGCATCCTCCGCCCCTCCCGGGGAAGCCCCGTGGCACGAAGAGAGGGCGCTGAGAACGGCGGCTGCCGGGCTCACCTGGGTGGGCAAGAAGCTCCGGGGCAGCTGTTTGCCGGCGGGGGCGAGCGTCCTCTCACCACCTGCTTTATAGCCGCCTGGCTCCTGTAATGCGTGCGGGAAGTTTCATCATGTCTGCGAGGACCAACCAGCGCGCAGGGGCGTGGCCCGCAGGGCGTGAAGGCGCTAGCGGCGGGGCTGGGCAGGACAGGATGCAGAGCGAGAGGGGCGGAGGAAATGCTGTTTCCAGCTTCTTAAAGTGTTAGTGCACCTGCTGAAGGATAGCCTCAGAGGTCTGGCCAGGTGACCTACTGACAGCTGTGACGAACTTACCTGGGGTCTGACAATTCATTAATCTTCTGCCCTTGGTTCGTTCTTAAGGAAATTATCATCAATTTTGATTGCCACATCCCCTCTACAGCACATCTCCTTCATATCTTTAATTGCAAAGTCTTTAGAAGTACCTACCCCTCCTTACTGCCAAAGAGCATCTGATACTTAGCTGTGGATACACATATATTTGTTAAATAAACAGTGAGGCAGATGGGATTAGCTGGAAGGGTCTCCGCCTTCTATTAAATACAAGGTAGATTTCATTAGGTTCTTCCACCTCGGGCAGAGTTAAATTTCTCCTTCCTCTGGACATACATACAACTCAGTGTATCTGTATCAAACTTGTGATGTGATTGTAGTCACGCTCAGATTGTCACCTTGTTGGTTGTGTCAATGTCTTCACCTTTTGAGTCCCAGGATCTGCTCAGTGGATACCTACCATTAGGGAGATTCTCAAACATGTACTCAGCTCAATTTGATAACTCATTACATTTGGTGGCTGACAAATTTCAATTTCAGAAAAGGACTGAGTTCCAGTCTGAATTTTACCACTAACTACTTAGATGACCATAGATGTGTCCTATAACCCCTTTAGATTTCTATCTTTAAAATAAAGAAGTTAGAGACTACCTGGAGTCCCTCCAGTCTTGAAATTCTAAGTCCTAAAGTGATGGGAGTTCTGTAGAGCCACAGCATCAAAAGAGGGAAATTATTTTTCATCCCCACAATACCAACTATCTCATTGAAACTCAAAATAATCTTGCAATCTGGATATTTTTACATTAGACCCGGTTAGAAGTAAATTACTCACATTTGCACACCTAATACTTCAGATCCAGGATGTGAAACCAGGTTTGTCTGGATCCACAGGCTGTTTTCTTCTCATCGCACTCCGCCTGTGGAATAGAAGGACAAGAAGGTCTGGATTTCTGGATTGTTCTGGAGACACTGACAGAAGAGCACTGACAGAAGGGGCTCATATAGCCTGTCTTATTTTTCCCAAACATGAATGATTCCTATTCAGGATTAAGTATATTTTCTTTTCCAGATTTCAGTCCCATTCCTATATTGGAGAATTACCCTAAAATTAGACTTTTTTCCTATTTATTATCTACACTGAGAGTTTGAAAGAGGAGACTCTCCATTTTAAAGGCATTGTTGAACTGGTACCAGTACTGTCCTCAGAATTATTATGCAGAACAGGGAAAGATTCATCCTCAGAAAAAGATATTTAAGACCTACTATTTCTTTATAAAATCTAAGCAGTGTTGCTACATGAAGCTAAAAGAGATCAGTGGCCCCTAAACACTTTAAGTACAAAGATTCCTTTTAAAATTGCAAAAAAAAAAGGTATTCTTGACCTGCCCCCACAAAAAGATAGTATGCTTTAGTATCCTTTTGATTGAGAAAATATACCACCATGATAAAAATAAACAAGGCACCATGACTTCATAACACTCTAAAGTAAACTTGTATTTTGTTAGTCACATCAGCACCAAAATAGAGAATTAGTAAAATTACATGTGCAAGACATACTCAGATCAGACTCCAGTCAATGATACAGGTTTGATACCCTTATATACTACATTCCCAACTAGTTCAATAACTGCTTAAGAATATAAATTCCCTAAGCACTGACCATGCAGTGGACACTAAGTAGTTGATCCGCAAAAGCAAAAATGATAGAGACTAAGTTCTAAGGTTACTTATTGCGCTAAATTTCTCAGCATTAAACAGACTTTGCTATATCCCATTCTATATAACATCTCAAACCTGAGACCAACCTGGGAAAGTAAGACTTCTATCCACATTTTACAAATGTAAGACAAGACTCAGAGAAATTGAGGGATTTAGCCAAACATACACTGTGTGAATTAAACCATAAAGAATCGAATCATAATCTGTATAAATCCCATTTCCATTTCCACCCTGTCCAGGTAAAGGAAGACAGGTATTTGATATGTTATCAGGTGTGGTTGATGGTGCTCAGTATCTTTCCCTGGGCCATTTAGAGCCACTTGCCATCCTTCAGGTTAGTGCCCTGGTTTCCCTGCCCTCCTCTTCCTGTGGGAGTGTTCAAAGGGAGACACTTCGAGAAGACGCAGATGATTGGAGGGAGAAGGCTCAGGGCCTTTCTTTCCCTGGCTCCCCTATCACAAAGCTCATCCCCTGAAAGCCACAGCTCCTACCCAATGACCCTCTCTGTTCCTCTTTTTCTACTGGTTCCAGGAGCTGCTTCCTCCTCTCCCCTTTCAGGCCAAGCCCTAGGATGCTGGACCATCCTGCTTTTCCTAAACCCCGCCAACATTTCTCTAGGTAGTCCCAATTGGCAGGTGCCACCTGCTTCCTATCAGACCCCTACCCTGTATGTACTGAGGGCACAGTAGATTTAACTAGAGTGAAAAACAATTATTATCCTCTATTCTTGGATGCAAATGAAAACTAAGTTACGTTGGCCTATGTTCCCACATCTCACCTGACCCTGTACTAAAGCCTAACTCTGGGGAAAGTACAGCCTGGGAGTATTCAAAATTCTCTGCTTGACCTCGGTCACTGAGGAATTAGAATAAAATCCTCCTCTGTCAGGTGAAACTTTTAGGCTAGCTTTCCATCCCCAAAATGTAATCAGCAACATAAAATTGTCCTTGTTCGGCCCTGAGAGCACTATTTAAAGTTCTTTTAAATATCAAATAAATTGGTTTTCCTCAATTTTTTTTTGTAAGTGGGTCTCTTTTCTAGAATAAAAAAAGCATAGTCATTAGACAACTAGTAGCTATCCTTGAGTGTTCACTGACTAAAAAAAGTGCATAATAATAAAAAGCTTCATTAATGTTAATAATATCTTAAAATAAAGTTGCATTTTATTCAACCCATATACCTTTGTAAAATTAATATTTGTTGACAAGTAAAATATATTATTAAGTCTACAGAAAATGCCATAAAACCATTCAAATTTGTCAACCTTTGTCCGTAATTTCAAAGCTTCTGAAGATGCCGTGACCCACATCTTACACAGCGCCAACTAGTTTACGAGCCATTTCACTCCCCAAAATAGAAAATGCTTCCAGAGCAGGGCACATGGTTATCATTTTCCTAAACACTTGGTGGGTAATGGGTCAGCAGTAGTGCCCTTGTTACTCTGGGCCCCACACTTGAGCTTTCCAATGGCTGTAAACTTGCCCACTCAGGCAGGAATTCAGATTCCACTTGCACAGGTGAGCTCTCAAGCAAGGTACAGGATGGAGTCACAGTGGGACAAAACGAGCTGGAGCCTCCTTTGAACCTTTGCCCTGTCCTGGAAATGACAGCTGCAGGTTTTTGCAGCAGCTTATAATTCTGTTTCTCTGGTGTTTAATCTAATAGTTATGATATTTTCAATGAAGTGTTGAAATGCAGTTTGAAATAGACCTTTGGCTCTTTCCCTCTATATCCCATACTTCCTTTCCAAGATCACAGAAAATCCTCCTGACACCAACATTTAAGTCATCAGATTAAGCAATAATATGGAAAATTCTGAAAGTGCCAAGTTCCTTAAAAATTAGTCTCTCCTGATGCTATTTGTCACCCTAGAATCTGTTACTTACCCTCAGTAAAACAAAAAAAGGGAATATTAACATGGATTGTGTACATATGTGTCTTGAAAAACTACAAATTTCATAAAACTGGGAACCACCTACTCTTCCAATGAAACATTTATTTAGTCCAACATACAAGAAGACTAGTGGATAAAAGAGGGATAAGAAAACAGTGGTAAAGCTGAAAAATAAGAGTCTCTGCTTTAAACAATTAATAACTTACTGGAAAGGGCCATTAATCAGAATAACAACTGAGAGAGAGAATGTGGTGGGCAGTGGAATCCTACAGATCAAACAGAATCCCGGCTGCATCGCATAACTTTCAAGTTGCGTGACCTTGAACAAATCTCTGATCCTCAGTTGCCAGATGAAAAACAGAGAACTTCTGCAGGTTTGTTGGGAGGTTTAGAAATAATGAGAGGATTAGAGAACTAGCAGAGTAGCTGGAACACAACAAAAGGCCAAAATATGTCAGCAATTGTTATTACTGGACTTACCTTGATCCTTATATCAGTTACTGCAGAAAGGACCCCGTGCAGCCCCGTTCACTCTTCCAGACCTGGAAAGGTGAACTACTCACTACTCTGACGTTTCTACAACTGCACCTCACAAGACTGGGGGGTGGAAGTAACACAAATCATAAGAAAATACTTACTAGTTTGAAAAAAATAACTTTGTTAGATTTTATTAGACTAGTGTAACTTTCTGCTTTACATAATGTTAGCAGATGTAACTCAAAAAGCTCTGCAGAAAGACGCTAGTTGCACAACACTGTGAATGTAGTAAATGCTACTGAATTGTGTACTTTAAAATGGTGAATTTTATGATACATGAATTTTAGCTCAAATTTAAAAAAAAAATAATCTTTTTAAATGCAGCAACTGCTGTTATTTTCAACCTGAGAATGTTGACCTGGGAGTCATTTTACAAACACAGATTCCTGAGATTCTGATTGTATAGGGCAAGGTGGGCATGATTGTCTACCTCTTTTAAAAACTCCCTTAGTGATTCAAATGAGCCAGGGTTAAGAAACACTGATTCATGACTTGAAATCTCGCAAATTATGCAAAGGATATAAATAGAGTAGAAATTGTCCTTTTTACAAAAAGACAGTTGTTATCTGGCCAAAGGGGTGGGATTCTGGGGCCATTCTTTTCTTTTTTATAATTTCTATTATTGGAATTACAATAAGGTTTGAGCAATGCATGTAACCATGCAAATCACACT